CCTGGGATGACAAGGGGCCTTAACCCACTCCATGAGAAGCCTGGTGCTGCGGGAACTCCCTCATGTTATGGCAGACCCAGCAGCAGGTTTCCACACTGGCTCCCTGAGGACAGAAAACGGGTCTTCCACAAGGCAGGCAAGTGCTGTAGCCCTAAGGGCTGTTGCTTAGTCTGCAGTAGGGACCCTGCCCTCCTAATCTCCATGTGGACATGCAGTGAAACCAACAGGTCCGTGTTGCCCCCTGGCCCAGGAGGAACACACGGCCTGTCTGTGTGGTGGTCGCGTGGCCATCAGGACATTTTGTGAGGGCTTCAGGAAGTTCAGCTCGCACAGCTGCGCTCAGGTGCTGAGATGTGGGTTATATAACATTCCGAATGGCAGATTTTTATTAATAAAGGGTTTGATCCCATGTGCACAGGGGAAAGCTTGGAAAACATGACTCAAAAGGTTCATGCAGTGATTTTGAAGTTTATGTAAGATAGTTTTTAATGGAATGACTCTTTTTAAAAAATATTTTTAACCCATCAGTTTGACAGTGCTTATACATGAAGGGAAATCCGTCTCTATAGGAGCGAAGGGGAAGGCACTGCTGAAGCTTTGCAGCTTTTCCCTGGAAGTGCTGAGCAGCTGCTGACCACACAAAAATGTGTGCAGAGAGTGACACAGGATCTGTGGTGGCCAGAGGTGACCGTCTTTTTGACGTCTTCTACTACCAGAGGAGAGAGATCATGTCAAAGCCTGCCAGAATCTGGAGGAAGATCAGAATTTCTTCTCAGGAGGCCAGAGAGGCCAAAGTAAGGGTCAAGAAATCACACAAGAAGATCTAGAGTTTTTCTTAGGAGCAGTACAAGGAGTTACCAGTGCCAGGCAAACCAAACCATTTCTGAGAGATGCCTGCAATTTTCAGATGGACCAGACAGAGCAAAGAATACAGTTAGATTTGAACATCAGTGACACCAGCTTTTCTTTTTGTAATTTTCTCAGTAGTTCGTTTGGCAAAGAAAATGTTTCTCCACAGGAAAGTTACCGCAGTTGGCTTTTTGACAGCAAATATCTATAAATCCTAGCAAAAAGACACTCACTTTAATTTGTCTGCATAGGATCACTCACTGAAACTTTCCTCCTTTTTTTTTTTTTTTGTTGTCCTGAGTTGACATTAGTACATGGCCCCAATATGCTGTGTAAGTTGAGTTATTTTCTCATATGTAACTCATTTCTGCACAGGAGGAAAAAAAATCTCCTTGCTAGTGGAAAGTAAGAGACATGGACACACAAATCTAAACATGCCTGCTCTAAAGAGCCTCCCTGTATTTGTTACTATGCCACCTGCTTTTTGTAATCAAAAGCCTAAGACGTAGCTATTTAATGACATGGTTATTTATACATTAAGCAAAAGGAGCATTACTCCTTTAATATTAGAAAGGTGAAGTGAAGGGTATCTTTTGTTCAGCACTCTAAAAAAATAAGAATGAAAAGAAGATTGTCAGTGGTTCATTTTCACCTTTCTCTAGTTGGCAGTGCAGATGTGAACGTGTAATCATACGAATTTAGCAGCCTACAGGATGAGTAGCATTAGAGCTAGCTATTCTAAGGAAAAGCGAAAATCAGTAACTAGTTGTTTATGTACATGTTGATGGCTGTAAGTTGGTGCAACTTGAACATTTTGGAGAATATGTAGATTTGGTATGGGACTGTTTTGGGCAAGATGCCATCCCATTCTGTTCGCATTTGTTTTTCTTTTATTCCAATGGCTGATTAATTCTTGGTCCCTTTTTATCCCCACCATCAGTGTGTGCATGTGCTTTTTTGTTTGTTTGTTTTCTTAAATGGAAAAAAAAAGAAAAAAAGCCCTGAGCACAGTAGTATCTATGAAATACAGAGCTGAAAGTCTTAGAAAAAGAAAAAAAAATGGCTTTCTTTTTCAATGACTATATCAAATCAACGGGAAAAAGCATTCGAACAGAAACAGCTGCAGCCAAGAGAAGCAAAGTGCAAAGAGCATAAAACAGCATAAAACACATTTTCTGCTGTTATTGTTTGTGTCTTCATGTTGGGATTATAATAGGTCATACCTGGATGCTACCAAAACACGGTCCAGGGAACAGAAAGAGCTTCACTTAATGAAGGAAATGGCCTCTGGCTGGTTAATCGACAGACAAGTCTGTTTTCTAAAAGCCTCTTCAGACCCTCTTATTCTCAGACCGGCCCTTGGACAGAGCCTGTCTTGTTCAGACTGCAGTAGGTTAATAACAATATTGAGAAAGACGAGCCCTTTGCTGAGATAATTACGCATTAGCTGAAGGAGGGGACCCTTTCAGCCCATTGCAATGACCTCTGTGTAGCAGAGCGTTACCGCTCCTCTCTCCTGCACGTAAACATGTCGGCGGGAGCACCGGTGCCCGCGGGGAGAGCGGCGGGAAGGCCGAGCCCGGCGCCAGGCCGGCCCGGAGCAGGCTGCATTCCTCGTGCGGTGCCGGCGAGGAGCAGGGCCCCATCCCGACCCCAAGTGCCTTGGAGGCGGCTTCGCGGGAAGCTCGGAGCGGAACCATCGGAGCTCTGGCCACTGAATCTCTAGGATAGCCGGTTGTTGGGCTGGCAGGCGAACAGCTTCCTCGGGAGTTATGTGCACGGTTAGACCATCGATGGAGAGAAGTTTTCAGGTCTGTTTGCCCCCACACCAAGGCCCATATACAAAACGATGGGGCAGTTCCCTTCCGTTTTGGACCCAGTGGAGAGCACTGGAGCAATTAAGCAACAGATTAATTACTGAACACCGTAATGTGTTAGCGAGTCCATTTCAAGGCTGTATTCCTCATGGGCTTCACCGGTGCTCCTTAATCTGCTCACGGCAGCGTGTGTTACATGCACACTACCTACACGAGGCACAGCAGAAGCGAGGAGCTTCCTGCCAGGCAGGTCTCTTAGGGCAGGCTGCATTTCTAGTCTCCATGTGCGGTATTCCGGGTACCATTGTACCTTCCGCAGCAAGGCAGTCCACATCACAGCATTACAGGATGGTGGAGGTTGGAAGGGACCTCTGGAGATCATCTAGTCCAACTCCCCTGCTCCAGCAGGACACCCAGAGCACGGGGCACAGGGCGGCATCCAGGCGGCTTTGGAAGATCTCCAGAGAAGGAGACTCCACAGCCTCCCTGGGCAGCCTGTGCCAGGGCTCTGTCACCCTCACAGGGAAGTTCATCACAGGGAGACAGAACTGCCTACGTTTCAGCTTGTACCCATTGCCCCTTGTCCTGTCACTGGCCAACACTGAGAAGAGCTTGGCCCCTTCCTCCCCACATTCTCCCCCCAGGTATTTGCACATATTGATCAGATCCCCTCTCAGTCCTCTCCAGGCTAAACCATTCCCTCTTGCTTAGTCTTTCCTCACAAGAGAGAGGCTCCATCCACATGGGAGGCCCGCTGTTCCCGTGTTGTTCCCCCTCCTTGCGCTGCTGCCGCTCCGCTCTGCTCCCTCGCGGGTTCCCTGTCCTGCGCGGCTGCCTTCAGCGGTCTCGGCTCTGGCCTGGGGCAGGACTCGGGCCGGGGCACCGCTGCCCGCGGCTCCAGCCTGCCAGAGGGCCCCGGGCACAGGGCTGGAGCGCCGGGAGACGTCGCAGCTCCTGATCCGAGGGAAGAGCCTCACTCCGTAATCGCAATCTGGTAGGAGCCCCTAAAAACAACGTATTTTGCCTCATCAGTTAGATCTGTGATGACAGAGCTACTGATCTGCGACCAATTTAGTTCAGCGAGGCAGACACAAAGCGGCTCCTTCTGGGCTTCGCCCCTATCAAGTGAGAGCAGAGGCCGAAGGCTCGGCGCTGCTGGAGCAGGCTCCCTGCTCCCTCCCGGCAGCGTGCCCAAGGCCCTGGCACCGATTCCAGGGGCACCAGTAATTTGTCTGAATTGTCCCCTTGAGCAACAGCGATGGATATCTGCCAGCTGAATGTGGGGGGAAAAATCTATAAAAACACGGCCCTGCAGTCGTTCGTAGTGTTGAATGTGAGGGCCTCAAACAGGCTCTGAAGATCCCTTTTTTGCATTTTTTTTCCTATTGACATCTCTGCAGTCATTGCCTCATTTCTGCTTCAGCATGAAATGGGGAAGGACGTCTCAGCCTTCTGGTTACCATCATCAGTAACACAAGGCTGATACACACATATATATTTATATATACACACACACATATATACAGATACAGATGGACATATGTGTGTATATGTGTCTGCATATTTATATATGTGTATATGTGTATATATCTAACTGTATGTTATAGTATGTGATATATGACTGTATGTGATGATACTACATTGCCAAGCTTGGGGAGGTTATGGGGATAATTACTTACTACAGGTTGAATAATTAAAAATACTTGTCTCTCCAGCCCCTACCTTCTCCCTCTTTCATAAAACAAGAAGAACACTCATTTTTATCTCTGCTTTATATAGTCTTTTGATTAACTATAGGGTTAGTGTGTTAATAAATGCTGGCTGCCATTTAAAAATATGTTCTATGCGCTGTGAATCACAGATTACAGATGACCCCAAGCACTGCACTTAAAATGCTGTAAGTGTTTATGAGCTATTTCTAATTTATTATTGATCGGGGAGGGCGGGAGGAAAGACACGTGTATTAACATCTGTGATCATGTCGTAAACCTTTCCCACGGCTGCTAAGGCCTCAGCAACGCGGAGGGAGTCCTTGGCTCTCCGGTCCTGGCGCTCTTGGGGGCGGCCGATACCATCACACCAAATTCCTGGCGCACGGAGATGCTCTGGGGGCCTCGTTAACCTGTCAGCCGTGGCTGGAGCAGCTCCAGTTTGTAATCATCTGCTCCAAGACTCCTGGAGCCACGGCTTCACTTTGTGGCTCGCCGTTCCTCTCGATTTCACGTGTTTTTGGTGCTCCCTGCCAAGAGCTGCCACGTTCTTTTTCTTTGGCTTGCTCCCTGGCTAAATCCTTTTCTCCCCACCTTGTGTCCCTCCCGCTCCTCTCGTCCCCAGGGCGAATGCTCACGGAAGTGCTACGACATCTTCGTGCTGGAGACCGTGTGCGTGGCTTGGTTTTCCTTTGAGTTCCTCCTGCGCTCCATCCAGGCGGAGAACAAATGCGCCTTCCTGAAGACCCCGCTCAACATCATCGACATCCTGGCCATCCTGCCCTTCTACGTCTCCCTCCTGGTGGACACGGTCTCCAGCAAAAACAGCGGCAAGCCCGGCGGGGGAGCCGGCAACAAGTACCTGGAGCGCGTGGGGCTGGTGCTGCGCTTCCTGCGGGCGCTGCGCATCCTCTACGTGATGCGGCTGGCGCGGCACTCGCTGGGGCTGCAGACGCTGGGGCTCACCGTGCGCCGCTGCACCCGCGAGTTCGGCCTCCTGCTGCTCTTCCTCTGCGTGGCCATGGCCCTCTTCTCGCCGCTCGTCTACCTGGCCGAGAGCGAGCTGGGGGCCAAGCAGGAGTTCACGAGCGTCCCCACCAGCTACTGGTGGGCCGTGATCTCCATGACCACCGTCGGCTACGGGGACATGGTGCCTCGCAGCATCCCGGGCCAGGTGGTGGCCCTGAGCAGCATCCTGAGCGGCATTTTGCTGATGGCTTTCCCGGTCACCTCCATCTTCCACACCTTCTCCCGCTCCTACAGCGAGCTGAAGGAGCAGCAGCAGCGCGCGGCCAGCCGGCACGCGCGCCTGCTGGAGGAGAGCGCCAAGCTGCCCGGCGGGGACAGCGCGCAGGGGCCCTGCGTCCCACCCGCTCCACGTGCTGCTGCGGAGGAGGAGGAGGAGGAGGAGGACAAGGCGGCTCGGTCAGCTGCGAGCCAGGAGAGACGGTGCTGACTGTGGGCAGCGGCAGACTTGGATCCGTAGCTCAGGCACGAGCGGCTGTGGCTTCCGCGAGAGGAGCCTCCCGAACTGCCCGCCCAGACACGAGGGGCTGCCCCCAGCGAGCAGCGCGGCATCAGCGGGGCCGCCGAGAAGCGTCCCAGCAACTGCGGCTCTGCTCCAGCTCTGCTCCATCGCTACCCCTAGGGCACCTCTTTTCCATTGAGCAGCTATCCCTGGCAACCCGCAAGGAGCCGCTCCAAAGGGGCGAAGGTGCCTGGCGCACAGCGTGACGGAGAGGAGCGGGCACTTGGATCAGGGCGGCCGCGCCATGGAGCGGAGCGGCAGCGCTCGGATCGGGGCAGCCGCGCCATGGAGCGGGGCGGCCAGCGCTCCCGTCGCCTCCTGGCCTCGAGGGCTGCCCCAGGCCGGCGCTCCCGGGGTTTGTCCGTCTGCTCCGCCAGGGCCACACGGCCCTCAGCCAAGCGGAGGGGCTCCGTGGCGGGGAGGGGTGCAGCGAAGGGCAGAAGTTTCCCTATTCCTTTCTCTTTTTTTCTCGCCGGGGCTTGATTTCATCCTTTCCCCAACGAGGCAGTGACCTGTGCGCCTGCTCCGTGCGCATTATTCAGCCAACGCCGCACTTACCACGGCAAGCTTCGTGTCCCGGCCCCGTGACAGACACTGCATGGACAGTCCTCCCAGCTACGGTACTGAATGTTAACTGCCGCGGGTTTCTGTTTTCCTTTGCTCACGGCTGAATATAACAAGTACCTTTACAAATCACAGCATTTCTCCACTTTCTTTTCATTCTTCCCATCGCTCCCATATTAACAAACGGAAGACAGCCTGTTTAGCAGGAGCGCGCAGGCAGACGCGGCCCGGGCCGGGGCCGCTCTCCCCGTCCCGCGGGGGCTGCAGTGGCGGCAGCCCCACGAGGCGGGAGCCCGTGCGGGCCCTGCGGGGACCCGCACACCGCAGCCCAGTCCTGCGCTGGGGAGCAGGCCGCGCTTCCAGTCTTGGGAAAACACCATCCCGAGACCTGCGGATGGAGGCGGCTGTGCCGGCTGCTCCTGCCTCGTCCCGCACCACCACGTTCATGTCGATGCAAAGGGAGGGCGAGGCGCGGGGTGCTCGCCCCCTTGCTCTCCTCGGGTCCCGCTGCCCGGCTCCATCAAGTCGCTGCTGTCCCGCAGCAGAGTCCTGCATATTCTCCAAAGGGATATAATTAATTGCAGCATGCCCAGGATTTTAATAAAGTGGCAAACCCCACTCCTCCCGCTGTTAGTCAAGGTCGGCTTTTAATGAAGTTTCGCTTCATCTGTTGACATGAGAGATGAGGAAACAAGTATAAACCAGGAACCTTTTAAACAAATTATTTTTGGAAGCGGTATAAAATTCTGGTGCTCGAATTGCCAGACATAAAAGATACCCGGAGGAGAATGAGCTTCACCCAGCAAAGCTCTCGCACGGAGTGATGCTGCTTGCTTTGGATCAGCAGCTGAAGAAATGGTTTGTTTGAAGGGGTTGGGGTTTTTTCCTTTTTTGTCTTTGGCACCGCAAACAAATGATGAGGAGCATTTCTGTAACTCCAGTAAGCGCTGCGCCGCTCCCGCCGAGGTGCCGAGAAAAGCCGAGGAGACCGCGACGCAGACCTGGCTGGGCCAAGCTCTGCTCCGGGAGCCCGGCAGACCGGGAGCGGGGGCCACGCGGCGCCCTTTGCCTTGGGATCTGCCGCGGCTGCGTCCGCCCGCGCAGGCCGGCCCCGGCGCGCAGGGACGGCGCTGCCGCCGAGCCCCACAGAGCGGCTGCTCCGACACCGGCCTCCCTGCCCGGACCCCATCCCCGGGGCCTTGCTCTGCCGGCCTCCGCTCCAGGAGCGTCCCCCACCGCAGCCCCTTGGGCCGGGTCTGCTGCTGCCCCCCGGCCACCCCCCTTTGCCACCCGCTGCCCCTCTCCAGCCCCACGGGCAGCGAGTGCCCCGGAGCAGCGGGAGCCGCGCGGCGCACAACGGAGCAGCACTGAGGTCTCTACAGAACAGGTTGCCGTTATTTATTTGCTTAAAAAAATCACCGCAACTGACCGAAAATAAACTCCGTGAAATGTGCCGTACATTCAGAGAGATGTATTCAGAGTAACTGATTGCTTACTTCTCCGAGGTGAGGGATGCAGATATTTCCTGACAACAACAACAACAGCAGGAAGTTCTGTAACATTCTGTCTCTGAAGCATCAGCTGGAGTTGTTCAGGAGTTTCTGGCCGAGTGTCCAACCTTGCTGGATGCCACATGTAGGAAATGAGCGCAGGCGTCAGCTCCCCGGCCTCTCGTGCAGCAGCTGCAGTTCTGCTCTGCGATCGAGGCTCCTCCGCAGAGCCCTCTGGTTTTGGTACTCGTAACAGACCCAGGAGTCTGCACAGGGAAGAGTCCCAAGTGGAAAGACAGACAGACAGACAGACAGACAGACAGAGAAAGAAAGAAAGAGAAAGATAGGAAGGGAGGAAGGGAGGAAGGGAGGAAGGGAGGAAGGGAGGAAGGGAGGAAGGGAGGAAGGAAGGAAGGAAGGAAGGAAGGAAGGAAGGAAGGAAGGAAGGAAGGAAGGAAGGAAGGAAGGAAGGAAGGAAGGAAGGAAGGAAGGAAGGAAGGCGAGTTGTTTCCTGCAGCTCCAAGTGGTGACCAAGTGCGTGCAGTGCCAGGGAAAGCGTAACATACAGAAGCAGGTTTCTTAACAGCCGTTCATTTCTTATATCCCCGTAATATTAGAAAAAGACCACCATATACAAAAATCTTATGATTACAAGTTATTAAAAAAAGAAGAAACTTCAGACCATTAAAACGCACAGGAAAGTGTTCATTTGCATACAGTAGAAATACAATCCTCATTAAAGCAGCATACCAGCGGGGCCAGCTGTTAAGTACATTTTCAATTAAAAAAAAGATGAAAGCCCAGATGTTCCTATAACATGACCAGAACATTGGAGAAGAGAGAGGGATAAAACACCCACAGCCCCCAGGCCGGGCGCATCATCCGTGCAAGGTCATCCAGGCCGGGAGGAGCGCGGTGCCAAGCAGAAAGCCCGAGCCCTCACACAGGGGGACGCCCTTTCCTTCCCGTCTCCTCAGACCACAAGATTCCCAAAGAAAAGGGCAGGGACAGTGCCCAATTTGCACCCTGAAGCTGTCAGACTTGCTGCCATGCTTGGGGAAACAGGAGCTGTCGGGCTCACCTTGGAGGGGATCGGGACTCTCACCCGGCCCCACGGCGCTGCCTGCGGCCGGCCGTGCGGGCGCCACCGGCTGCGACGCGGCCTCCCGGCTGGGATGAATCCCCCTGCAGGAGCCGTCCCTGCGGCCCAGGGCTCCCTGCCCCACACGGCCCGGGGCTCCCTGCCCCACACGGCCCGGGGCTCCCGGCCACACGCAGCCTGGGGCTCCCTGTGTCCCGCTGCATCGTATCCTATCCCATCCCGGTGCCGGCAGCAGCTCCGCGCCGCAGCCACCTGCAGCTCCCAGCACACGCTGCCCTGGAAGCGCGGCCCTGGAAGCCCACACTGGTGCGTGTCCCCCACAGCCACGTGTGTTTACAAGCTCTCTGCTCTTGGAGCCTTTTGCGCCCGCGCTGCAGCTACAGGGCGGTTGAGAGCCTGGGAGATGCCGGGCAGCAGCAGGAACCTCCCAAGGTGAGAGAGGCCCCGAAACATAAACCTGTTTGGCAAGAAACAGCGGAGCGCGAGCCCCAGCACCCCAAGCTGAGAGATGCTGCTCCTGCTCTCTCGGATGAGGTCTCCTCTCCATCCCAGCCCTTCTCCTCCCTCCCGGCGAGGCCACCCAAGCAGGGCGGCTTCTACCTTTGTGTCCGCACCGCCCGGGACGGACTCATTTCCACCACCCACCTCGTTGCAGGGGGGCAGCCTTGGGGGGTTCCCTCCCCTTCCCTGCTCCCCAGCCATCCTTCTGAAAGGACAAAACATCTTCCTACATTGTGGTGATGCTGAGCACTAACAGATGCCACAACCCCCCTGCCAATGTACAGGCTTAGTATTATATAAATAGGTAAAAGTTTCGGACAAAATATCCTATAATTCCTGTGGTGTAACGTTTTTAAATAGCATTAAAAACACAGAACATCCAGCCCTTGTGATTAAATATACAAACGTACGTGAATTGATAAGGCCTGTAGGTACATATGCAAAAATAAAGCGTCCCTCCCGCCGCCAGGAGCCCGCTCCGTGCCGCAGAGCCGGGGAAGGGAGCGCGCGTCGCCGGCGCCGAGCCCTGCAGGGCGGCGGGACGGGGCTGCCGCCCCCTCCCCAAGCTCGCCGTGCCCCCGGCTCGCGGCGGGCAGGGCTCGCGCCGTGGGGCGGCCGGGCCGCTGTGGGGCTCACAGGGCCTTGGCGCTGGCCGGGTGCGCGGGGTGCGCCGCCGCCTTCTGCGGGTAGGAGCTGTACAGGTAGACCTGCAGCAGGATGGCCATGTCCACCAGCACCTGCAGCAGGCCGCAGATGGAGAACTGCAAAGGGGCCTGGTTCAGGACGAAGTAAACAGTCTTGAAGGTGTCCCCGCTGGTCCACATCAGCACCATCTTGACGCTGCCGGGCAGAGAAGGAGGGAGAGCGTCACCCGAGGGAAGAGCCAAGGCGGGCGAGCGCAGGGAGAGGCCGCTCCCCGCACCACCAAGCGCCTGCCCCACAGCGACGCCGGCCGGGGCCGCCCTGTAGGGCCCCCAGAGGCCGCCGTGGGGCAGCCCCACAGCCTGCAGCCCCGGCCCGGCCCAAGCGCCGCAAGGCAGCGCTCCTGCTCGTGCGCCCGGCTTCCCTTCCTTGGCACCTCTGAAACCAGCAGCAACCCTCCTGATGGGCACCAGAAACCCTTCCCAGTGCCGAGGAGACAAACCCCAAACGCTCACAAGACACGAGACATCCAATAAGGCACGATGAGGGGGCAAGGACCCGTCTGCACCTATTTATCGGGAGACTGGACATCGCTAAGGATTCCTACCAAGGGCACAGACCAAGGGCAAAGCCCAGGCCTGCTTTTAACAACCAGCTTGGCTTTCATCTCGCTGTCCCACTGAGCCATCCGCTGTCCTGCCATCCAGCTCCTTCCCTCCCGTATCAGGGGAACCCAGGGAATAGATGCAAGTTCTTCAACGTTGCCACAAACCCATTTTCTCCAGCGCCCTCAGTGCCATGCGGACACTGAGCCCCCGAGGGCCGTTTCCCAGCTCCGCCTGCTTGAGCCGGAGGGCTTTCCTAAGCGGCGGGGTAGGAGGCACTGGGCAGAGCTCTGCAGCTCGCAGCCTGGCACGGCGCAGGGCGCTCGCCGGCGCCGAGCCCCATTTCCCGAGCGCGGCCGCCCCACACGCAGCGGGGCCGGGCTCCGCGCTCCCCGGTGCTG